TGCGTGTGTGTGTGTGTGGCTGTGTGGCGTGTATCGTGTGTGTGTGTGTGTGTTGCTGTGTGTGTGTGTGTGTGTCCGTGTTTTGTGTGTGTGTTATGTGCATGTTCCCATTCCTCAAGTGTGTTCATGCGCATCTCACTGACGATCAGCAACACCACCCCCTCCCTCCCCGTCTGTCATTGCAGGACGTGGTTGGCAGCACGCATCGGTACACGGACTATCAACTGCGGCCCAATGTCGCCATCGCCATGACCGTCGCGCCAGGTACGCAGCTGGATTGACGTCAGAGGCGCATGCAACCACACACACGCACGCACACACACACACACACACACTCTCTCTCTCTCTCTCTCTCTCTCATGTGTACAAGCGCGCCTGCCCACAGCTGCAACGTACGTCCTCTGTGCGTCCCCCCTCCTTATCGCTTCTTGCTCGCTCACCAAGCACACACACACACACACACACACACACACACACACACACACACACACACACACAACGCACCTCACCACCACTGCATGGCGTGTTGTGCAGATCTGTTCACGCCTGCGCGCGCCAACCATCACCTCGACATCTGTGATCAATTCCTCGTTGGCGGAATGGGAATGCGCACACTCGATCCACATGTGCGTTTTGTTTGTGTTTGAGCGTACGTGTGTGCGTGTATGTGTGCTTGCGGAGGGGGAGCATGTGTTTTTTTGCATCTGTGTTTGTGAGTGCTCACGTCATTCGTTGTCTCACATAAACATGCACACAAAAACACGCACGCACGCACGCACTTCCTTGCGCACTCGCACACCACGACGACGACCACCACCAGGACTGGAATTATCGTCCAAACTACGTCAACTCCTACGATGGGCCGGACAAGGCGATCGCAAAGGGGTGGAACTATCACCAGGTACGGTGGCCCTCTGTTCCGCTGTTCCGCTGTGTCGTAGGTTCTGGTGCAGTTACCACGTGTTGCGTGCACCCATAACACACGCCTGCAAAACGCAAGCTCAAAACGAATTCACTCATACACGAGAACGTACTCACTCGCTCACTCACTCAGTCACCCACTCACACACACACACACACATACTCACTCACTCACTCACTCACTCGCTCGCTCACTCACTCACTCACACACTCACCCACAAACATACACAATCACTCACTCATTCACTCGCACACACATACACATACACACATACTCGCACGTGTCCATGCCACCAGGGCCCCGAGTGGCTGTGGCCGGTTGGCTTCCACTTCCGCGCCCGACTCAAGTTTGCAAAGGAGCGCGGAAAAGGTGTTTGCGCGCGTGTGTGCGTGCGTGAATGTGGCTGTGACTGTGTGCGTGTTTGACTGCGTGTGTGAATGTGTGTAACGAAAATATGATCTTAGGTTTACCTGATGATTCGTTCATGTCACCTGATGATTCGTGCATGTCACCTGATGATTCGTGCATGTCACCTGATGATTCGTGCATGTCGCTTTGTGACCTCGCTTGCATTCTTCGTTTTTCCGCACTCAAATCGTCCATTTATCTCTCATACTCACACACGCCATTCACGCGTGTTGTTGTCTCTGGATGCACGTTCCAGCGATCCACCAGGCAAACCGCTACCTTGCTCGCCACGAAGCCCACATCCAGCGCACCCCTTGGATGGTGCGTTCTCCAGTGCTCTTGCATCCCGCACCGCTGTGGCGGTCTGGTTGATTGCACACACACACACATGTTTCTTCGACTTGCCTTCACGTGCACCACACACACGCGCGCGCACGCTCACTCACTCACTCACTTACTCACTCATCACTCACTCACTCACTCACTCGCTCACTCACACGCTCACTCACTCACTCTCATACACACACGCTCACATCCCGCAGGGCCTGCCTGAGCTGTTCAATGAGAACGGAAGCGAATGCCCCGACAGCTGTCCGACCCAGGTACAACTTCCTGCTTCTCTTCGCACGTGCACTTGCTTGCGAATGCGCCGACTGGGAACCACACACTCTCACATGCGCGCGCGCGCGCACACACACACACACACACTCTCTCTCTCTCTCTCCATGCTCACACATCGTCAACGCCAACACGGCGTGTGCAGGCTTGGAGCATCGGGTGCCTGATTGAACTGCTGCACGACATCCACGAGCAGCGCAGCAGCATCAGCGTGTAACACCAACCGACCATGCACCCCCCCCCCCATGAACCAACAACCATGTTACCTGCTCTTGTGCATTCTTGTGCATGTGGCATTGGCCCCTCCTTCCCTTTTCCTCCCAACCACGGCACACATGCTGAGAGATTGAAGGCTTGCTTTGACGGAACTTGGCTTTGCTTCGACTTGCTACGACTTGTTACGACTTGCTACGACTTGCTTGTCTGACTTACTCCCGTGCTCGCTGGCCTCCGCTTGCTCGCCTTTCCGTTATGTTCTGCTTGTTGTTGTACGTTACTTGTTGTCCCTTTCGTTGCCTCTGTGCCACGGCGCTCACGCTGCTGTTGCGTTTCAATACACACAAGCGAACCGTGTGCTCAGCAACGAAGAGCCGTCACATCACACACACACACACACACACAAACACACACACACACACACACACACACACACAGCGCACGAAAGTTGTGGAATCAACACCCAAGTTTCTACATCCCAAACGCAAAACACAACTCGCAACAACACATCCGATCAGCATCCACTGTGCACAACACACACACACACACACACACACACACACACACACACACACACACACACACACACACACACACACACACACACACACACACACACACACACACACACACACACACACACACACACACACACAGAGCTCCCCCCGCTTTACCACAGCACGTCATGCGCGAGCGGTGGTGCCGCTCGCTGGCCTTGGTGCTGTTGGCCTGTAGTGTGACCTTGTGCACATGTGCCAAAGCCACAGGGAGTGCACCTGCATCTGTGGCGGCCTCAATGGGAATCGATCGCGCAACAAAGGTCGGCGCATGGAGGACGTGGTGCACCGGGTGCAAGTGTCCTACGTAAACCGGATTGTTTGACTCGCTTTTGTGATGCGATTGCTTGCACAGCTAAGGCTGTGTTCATCTGTTCATGATACATGCAGTTTGAATGCGGCAAAGTTGAACCACACTCTTGCCCTTTCAACCAATCAAACTGTTGTCAATTCCCTGATTGACTGTCTCCAACACACACACACACACGCACGCACACACGCACGCATACGCGCATACGCACACGTACACGCGCACACGCACACCACATACACACTCATACACGCACACACTACTATCATCCCCCCCCCATTCAGGTGTTGTGTGCTGATGTGGATGCCACACTGTTGCAGCTGCACACCACGCTGACATTGCACAATGTGCCTTTTATCGAGGCCACCCGCAGCGTCAAGCACAACGACACGCGCGCACAAACGCAGCACGCGGCTGTTGACCTTTCCTCGATCCACCGCATGATGAGCGCCTTTGGGTGCACACGCAGCACCACCACCACCCAGGCAACAACAACAACAACAACAACAACAACAACAACAACAACAACAACAACAACAACAACAACAACAACAACAACAACAACAACAACAACAACAACAACAACAACAACAACAACAACAACCGGCACTCCACGTCTTGCTGCGCTTCAGCCCCACTTCCGTCGCTCACGGCGCGCTGAGGGCGATGCCACAGAGCCTGCGGGGCAGTGTGCGCTGGCACATGTCATCGATGGCTCGTGCACTGGCCCGCGTGGCAACGGTACCCTCGTCGTCACCGTGCGGGGAAACGAGCAGCTGAACGCCACGACAGACGCCACCGCGCTGCAAGCCATCGCACCAGCCGTGCGCAACCTCACCCTGAACGGTGTCGTTCATGAGACGCATCTGCAGTGGATCGCGGCCAGTGGGGACTGGAACGAATGCACCACGCTGCAGCTCGCAGGCTTGCAGTTTTATCCTCTCAACATGCATGTCCTGAACGCGTTTCCCGCCATCACCATCCTCAACATCCAGCACAGCGAGGCCCTGCAAGCCATTGACACCCGTGGGTTTGAACACGCGGGGCAGCTGCGTTCACTGGACCTGCAGAACAACTCGCTCACCGCCGTATCTGACGAAGCGCTCACCACCATGACGGCGCTGCGCGTGCTCGATCTACGCGACAACCGCATTCGCCACGTCACCAACAGCACGTTCCGTGGCATCACAGCCCTGCGGCAGCTTCGCCTGGGCCAGAACCTCATTTCACAGCTGGCCGCCGCCGCCTTCCGCGACATGACTGCGTTGGAGGAACTGCTGTTGAACCACAATGCCATCAGCACCATCCCTGCTGCGCTGTTCCGCCCGCTGACGCAACTGAAGCGCTTGAACATGGAGCGCAACCCTCTCGTCGCCCTTGACGCTGCCGTGTTCGGCTCCCTCGCGCTGCTGGACCACCTCACCATCGAATACACGTTGCTTGCAAGCATTCCACCCACGTTGTTTTCGGCCACAACGCGGCTCACGCGCCTGGACCTGGGCCGCAACGTCATCACGTCGCTGTCCGAGACCATCTTCGCCGGCCTGTCGTCCGTGATGCGTCTGATCATCGATGGCAACCGCCTCTCATCGCTGCCACCAATGCTCTTCCGAGACATGACGTCCCTCACCCTCCTCTTCATGGGCACCAACGCGTTGACGTCGCTGCCGCACGACCTGCTCCGCACGTGCACGGAGCTGCAGCTGTTCGAGTGCGCCAACAGCGAGCTCACCGCCCTTCCCCACAACTTCTTCCACAACAACAACAAGCTCATTGACATCCAACTCGTGGCCAACAACATCCGCACCCTCGATGGGGTCCTGGATGCGTCGTCGTCCTTCCCAGCGCTGCGCCGCCTTGGCCTGGCAAGAAACCAGTTTACACAGCTCCACCTCAACCTGCCCCTGCCCTCCTTGGAAACGCTCATCCTCAACCACAACCCCATGCATCACCTGCCAGCTACCACGCACACGCCCAATCTGACAGAGCTGCGCATGTACAAACACCGCATGCAGCACATCAACCTGACACCACTCTTCAGCCTCAAGTCCTTGAAGATTCTTGAGCTTGACGCAGATCCGGACATCAGCGCCAGCATCGCCACGCTGGACGGTGACGCCACACTTTCCTCCAACCTGCGCACGCTTAGCATGCAGAACGTGGACGTGAGCCGCGTGGTGGATCGCCTGCTGCCAGTCGCCGCGCCACTGCAGCTGCACGTGCTTGGTCTGGGCTGGCCCGGTGCGAGCGACGCCACGCTGCCGGTGCAGCTGGTCTGCGGTGCACTGGCGAGGGACGTGCGTGCGCTCCGGCTCACCAACACCCAATATGAGGCCTTGGAGCTGTGCCGGAACAAAACCATTGACGCCCTGCACCTGCAGCGCAACGCGCAACTGCAGTCCATCACCGTGCACAGTGGCCTCGGCGAGCTGAACGTGTCTGCCTGCAGGCAACTGACCACCATCACCGCGCCGTCGATTGATGTGTTGGACATCAGCAGCACGCGCATGCAGGCTGGCCCAGCGCTGTGCACGCGGTGGGGGCGGCGCGTTCTCTTTGCGCGCCACTTGGACGAGGACTTTGTGAACTTGCCAAATGCGGCAGGTGTCATGCGCACGTGCGTGCTGCAAGCAGACGTGATTGACCTCTCGGGCAACGCGTGGCTCAACAACCCGGACGAGGTGAACCGGGTGGTGTCAGGTGACATTGTGCTGTCACCGGACGAGTTTGTGACGTTCGATTCCTTCACGATTGAGTCACGCCCAACACCGCCCATCCTCCAGCTGACCAACGCCCCCATCAGCTGTGAACTCGAGCTCTCGAGCAAGGACATGCGCCTTGACAGCGACCGCGACGTCGTTTCAAACGAAGTGGTGTACTCCTTCCGCTGCACGTGCGCGCGCGGATTTGGTAGAACATCACGTGGGCGGTGTGTATTGGAGAAGCCCAACACATTGGGCGTGGCTGCCGCCTCTGTTGTCTCTGGGCTCATCTTCGGTGTTGCTGTGGCGTTGCTGTCACGCCGCTACCGTGGCCTGACCAAGCGCATCGACCTGCAGGAGCAGCTGCTGGTGGAGAGGGACGAGGAGGTGATGGCGCTGAAGAAGGCGTGGGAGATTGAGTACGATGAGCTGACGATGATCAAGCGTGTTGCTGCGGGCGCGTTTGGCGTGGTGTTCAAGGCACAGTGGGAGACAGTCACGGTGGCAGTGAAGGTGCTGCAGCAAAGTGTGATGATGTTTGACGAGAGCACGGTGCAGGAGTTTGAGAAGGAGGTGGAGTTCCTGCAGCGGACACGGCACCCGCACGTGGTGCGGTTCTTTGGCGCGGGCACCGATCCCAACGGCAGCCCGTTCCTGGTGCTGGAGTACGTGGCCATGGGGTCGCTCAATGGCCTATTACAGAAGGATATGGGGAAGGTGTTGCTGGAAGTGAGGAGCAGGAAGGTCGAGGAAAGCAGCAACGGCAGTGTCAGGGATGATGTGAACAGTGTGTGGGACTTGAAGCTGCGACTGCTGCGGGATGTTGCCAGTGGGATGGCCTTTATCCACAGCCTCGATCAAGTGCACAGGTGTGTAAAGGGGGGGGGGTGGTGTACATGTGTGTGTGTGTGTGTGTGTGTGTTGTGTTGCGTGTTGTGTTGTGCCGAGGTGGTGTTGGTGTGGCATCTGCTGCGTTTGCTCTTCAACTCACCCATCCACACACACACACACACACACACACACACACACACACACACACACACACACACACACACACACACACAATCACACACAATCACACACAATCACACACAATCACACACAATCACACACAATCACACACTGCAGAGATCTGAAGAGCGGGAACGTGCTGGTGTCGGCGCGGCTGAGAGCCAAGATCACGGACTTTGGATCCATTCGCCAGTGCCTCGCTGGCGGCTCTTCCGCTTCCTCCTCATCCACGACAGCAACAACAGCAACCACGGCCATGACAACAGAAGCAGCAGCACATGCTGGTGACCTGACGTACTCGCAGGCGGCGGGCACGGCGACGATGAACCCGAGCATGACGATGACGGCTGGTGTGGGGACGCCGCTGTACATGGCGCCGGAGGTGCTGTTGGGCGACAAGTACAACGCCAAGGCAGACGTGTTCAGCTTTGGGGTGCTGATGTGGGAGGTGGCAACGCAGCGTGTGCCTGACTTGATTCAGCAGGAAAAGGGCAGTGGTTTCCGCGGTCCCATGCTGGCCACACTCAGCAACTTGCTGCAGGAAGGGAAGCGCTTGCGGTTTGACGATACTGGTGAGTTTCTGCCATTGAAAGTATCGTAGTGGTGTTGTAGTGTGTGTTGTGTCGAGTACGTCTGTGATATGATGATGTTTGCATCGCACGCTGTGGTTGTTCGCGCTGCCCCTTGAAGTGCCCTGCTGTGATCTCACTGCTCCCGCACCGGCGCACATGCACATTTTTGACAATGACCAGCAGCCATTGCGACATGGTTTCAGTCGTTGACTTTCAAGTGCATGGCACAAGAGGCCAGAGATCGGCCCACCTTCCAAGACCTACAGGAGCAATTCGACAGCGTGTAGTGTGTGGTGTGTAGTGTGTGGTGTGGTGTGGTGTGTGTGTGTGATGTTGAAACAAAGAGATGAGTTTAGTTTGCAAATGTGCGGTGGCAGCTTGCGCTTTTGTTCATTCACATTATGTTTGCAGTGATGCTTCTTTCTTTCTGCTGTTCTTTCGTTCGTTCCCTCCTCATTGCCTTTGGCCACACTATTTGGAGACATGCCCTCTTCCTCTCCTGGTTACTTTTCCTTATTCATTTCCGTGACATTCATAGAACAACCTACATGACAACACTCGATTCTCCAATGCTGAGGACACGCTTGTGTGTGTGTGTGTGTGTGTGTGTGTGTGTGTGTGTGTGTGTGTGTGTGTGTGTGTGTGTGTGTGTGTGTGTGTGTGTGTGTGTGACTGTGCTACGACCGCTTAGGCAGCACTGCTCTACTGCTGCACTGGCGCGTCCACTCTTGGCGCATGGCGCACACATCCACTTGACACAACCTTCCTCGTCTTCGCGCGCACAGTCGAAATTTCTTGCATGACATTCACCAATCGCCACGATTCACGATGGACGCTGCTGCGGCGCCACCAACAAAGAAGGCAAAGGAGGCCACCACCACCAACGCAACTCTCGACGACAATGGCGGTGCGGACAGCAGCCTTGACAGCAGCCTTGTTGACTGCAGCCAGAGGCGACGAAGCGTGGCGGAGGTGGAGGCAGAGACGGGCCCTGGGATTGAGCATTGCATGAAGCAGCGGTCGGACGCGTGGTTTGACCTGAGGAGCACGTGTGTGCTGACGGCGAGCCAGTTTGGCGATGCCGTGGGTGCGGGCAGAGGGAGGTGCATTCATTTCTTGCAGTACCTGCGGGACAAGCGCAAGAATATGCTGAAGCGGACATCCTCGTCCTCGTCTTCTTCGTCATCCTCTTCTTCCACGTCCTCGTCTGCGGTGTCATCGACACGCCAGAGTCCCGTGAAGAGCGTCGTCTCGAAGGAGATGCAGCACGGCATAGATTATGAGCCCGTGATTGCAGACATGTATTTCTTGCTGAGCGGCAATGAGCCGCGCGAGTGTGGCATCTTCACTCCCGCCGTTGACGATGTCATGCACGGCCTCATCGCAGCCAGCCCAGGTGTGTGTTTGGGGGGGGGGTGTTACTGGTTGCGTTTTGCTTGTGTGCGTTTGCTTGTATGCTTTTGTGTTTGTGTGTGTGTGCGCGTGTGTGTGCGTGTGTGTGTGCGTGTGTGTGTGCGTGTGTGCGTGTGTGCGTGTGTGTGTGCGTGTGTGTGTGTGTGTGTTTATTGGGGGTGTTACTGGTTGCGTTTTGCTTGTGTGCGTTTGCTTGTATGCTTTTGTGTTTGTATTCCATTGCTCGTGCTTGTGTGTGCCCTTGTATTTCTTGCTTGTTTGGTTGTTCCGTGTGTCGGGCGTGCACGAAAGCCACTTCTGCCACCCGTCATCTGACATGGTCATGTGGCCCTCCAACAACCCTTTCTCAACGCACAGATGCCAAGGTTGTGCGCGACGGACATGTCATTGGCTTGGCAGAATTCAAAGCACCTTTCTACCGCATGCACCGCCCAGACGACCCAGCCCACTGCCACGGCATTCCCCGCTCCCACATCTGCCAAATGATGGTGCGAAAACATGCGGGTGTGTGCGTGTGTGGCATGCGTGTGGCATACGTGTATATTTGTGTGTTGTTGTTGTTGTTGATTTTGTTATTGTTGTTGTTGTTGTTGATTTTGTTATTGTTGTTGTTGTTGTTGTTGTTGTTGTTGTTGTTGTTGTTGTTGTCGTCGTTGTTGTTGTTGTTGTTGTTGTTGTTGTTGTTGTTGTTGTTGTTGTTGTTGTTGTTGTTGTTGTTGTTGTTGTTGTTGTTGTTGTTGTTGTTGTTGTTGTTGTTGTTGTTGTTGTTGTTGTTGTTGTGTGTGTGTTGTTGTTATGTGTGCTTATGCCACCATTTCACGAACATTCACAATCGCTACACGATCCCATCCCACCAACACGCCATGTTTCATGCTTCAAGGGCCAAATGGGCGTTGCTGGGGTGCGGACGTGGTGCGATTATGTGGTTGTGTGTGCACGTGAGCGCAAGATCAGCATCAAGCGTGTCCACTACTCGCACCGCTTCTGGCTCGCCCTCAAGTCTGCCCTGCTGCGCTTCATCCTCGCTTACAAGTGCGTGCGTTGTTTTTATGCGTGTGTGGGGGGGGGGGTTTGGGGAGGCAGGAGGGTTGCTGCTGCTGCTGTTGTTGTTGTTGTTGCTGTTGCTGGGTGGGTGTTGGAGCAGCGTTTTGCATCAAGTGATGTGTTGACTGTAACAGGTGTCGAATATCTACAAACACACACACACACACACGTATACATACTCACACTCACGCTCTCACGCTCTCACTCACTCACACATATACATTCACACACACACACACACACACTCACACACACCCACTCACACACACTCACACACACCCACTCACACACTCACTCACACATATACATTCACACACACACGCACACACACACACACACACACACACACACACACACTCACACACTCACTCACACACTCACTCACACATATACATTCACACACACACACCACGTTTGCAGGTTTGGTGTTGACGAGGATGGGGTGTCGAAGATCAAGCTCGCGGACTGGCGCCTGCCCGAGGAAGTACTTCACATTGAGGAGCGGTGCACATATGACGCGGCGCGCGGAACATTTGCTGGCGACCGCGGCCTCCCGCTCACGTGGGCCGTGCTCGCTGCAGAGCTCCCGCCGTTGACCCATGGTAATGGTGATGGTGACGATGGTGGTGGTGGTGGCGGTGTTGGTGGTGCTCGTCATGGGTGACTGGCTGGCAGTCACATGTGTGCTTCCGTCATTGTCATTGTTGTTGTTACGTTACATTACATTGCTGTTACGTGATCATCATGCCACTTTGCTTGTTTCTATCTTTGCTTGCTCGCCTGCCTGTGTTACATTCTCGCTTGCCGCCCCTTTCCTGTTGAGCTTGGGCTCTTGGCGCTTCGTTGCATCTGTTAAGTTAAACTTCTCCGCTGTCTGTTGTGCAGTGATGTGGACGTCTGACAGACAGAGAGTGTGAGCGAGAGTGAGAGTGTGTGTGTGTGAGTGAAAGAGAGTGAGGCTGAGAGAGGAGTAGACACACACATACACACACACACACACACACACACACACACACACACACACACACACACACACACACACACACACACACACACACACACACACACACGCATGGCGACTCTGTGCAATTATTTCAGTGCGGATATGGAGGACAGCAAAGAACCCACACGAACAACACAAACAACACAAACAACACAGCACAACGCCATGCCTGACCAGGAGCGAGTGCCACTTGTGGCGCCGGCAACGCACAGCTACAACGACGACGACGACGATGGCGATGGCGACAAGGGCGCATGCTGTTCAATGTGCACACGACGGCGACTGCTACTGGGGTGGTTTGTGATGTGCGTTGCGCTCGTGGCCGCCACCGTGGTTGCGGTGCAGCAAGGACGGCATGCGTCCGCAGTGGAGGAACGCACGGCTTTCTACGCCTGCGGCGTCGTGGATGAGGCACTGGACCCCGTCCACGTGCCGCAAGAGCTGTATCCAGAAGTGAAAGCGCGTGTGGAGGACGTGCTACCTCAGTGGTTCAACGGCACAGAAGCGCTGCTGTTCCTGCAGGGCGGAGATGTTCAACTGCACTTCTTCGCAGATACAGAGCGCACGTTCTGGCAGGAGAGCAACTTCCGCTACCTGAGCGGCGGGTACGAGCGACCGGGCGGCGCATGGCTCCTGTGCTCAGCTGCGCTGAATGATACAGTGCCATGGCACCCGCCACCATCGCAACTGAGGCAGCACAGCCTGACTTGCCACCTGTTTGTGGACAAGCCGACCCTTGCCGATGCCATCTGGAATGGCAAGGCGCTCACGCTGGAGCAGCTGCGCGCCATGTACACCATCGACCACATCCACTGGAAGGATGACTTTGCCACCGTTGTATCACCGGTGCTTGCAGCGCTCAACGTGTCGGAGGTCGACACCATGCCGGCGTCGCCGCAGCTGGCGGACGCGCTGCCAGCACCCCTGGACACGCTCACACGCAACAGGACACGGCTGCGGGACGTATTGGGCGAGGCGCGTGGCGTGAAGACGCCGACAGAACTGCGGTTGATGCGTGCAGCCGCTGCTGTGGGCAGCGCCGCACACAACTACATCCTGCGCAGCGCACGCAAGAGTGAGGCAGAGTACCAAGTGGAGGCTGCGTTTGTGGCGGTGAACACGGCGTGCGGCCTGCAGCAGCAGTCATATCTGCCCATCGTTGCCTCTGGCCCACGAGCGGGCACGCTCCACTACAACACCAACATGCAGCCGCTGGAGGCCGACTGGCTGCTGGTGGATGCGGGCGCGACGGTACATGGCTACGGCACCGACATCACGCGCACGTGGGCACTGAGCGGCCACTTCTCCTCGCTGCAGCGCCAGGCTTACGAAGTTGTGCTGGGCGCGCAGCTCGCAGGCATTGCCGCATATCGGGCGGGGAACACGTGGGTGAATGCCACGCGAGAGGCAGAGCACGCGCTCTTGCGCGGGCTGTTGGAGACGCAGCTCGTCGTCAATGCAACCTTCGATGCGCTGGCGGAGACCAACATCACGCGCGTGTTCATGCCGCACTCCCTCGGACACCACATTGGGCTGGACGTCCACGATTATGTGCCTGGCGGGCTTGGCAGGTGCCGGCCGAGCGAAGACCCGCTTGAGCCCATCGAGTGCCCGGGCACGCTTGAGGTGGGCATGGTGGTGACGTGCGAGCCTGGGCTGTACTTCATACCGCAGCTGCTGCAGGAATCGTATGCCACACCCTCGCTCGCGCCCTTCCTCAACAAAGCGGCGATCGACGCGTTCATATCCGCTGGTGTGGGCGGCGTGCGCATTGAGGACGTTGTTGTCATTACGCAAGATGCACCGGACGTCATTTCCAGCGGCATCCCAAAGACCATCAAGCAGATTCAGCACCACGTGCTCAGCTGACACGTGTGCCTTTGCTGTTCTGTTTGTTAGTTCGTTTGTGTGCGTGCGTGTGTGTGTGTGTGTGTGTGTGTGTGTGTGTGTGTGTGTGTGTGTGTGTGTGTGT